TCAGCATCATGGTCTCAGATGATGGTGACCAACCCAGAAGACACAGCGAGCTTCACCTCTATCCTTGCCTATCTTTCCAATAGGAGCCATGTCCAGAAATAAAGTGTTCACAGAACCTGTGGTCTTATTTCAGATTTGGTCTCCCTTCACCGTGCAGGGACACCGTTGCTAATACCATTAATAAAAGATACTTGATACCCTTATTAACAGCAAGTCCTTTTAAATAATGCCCATAAAATTGAGAAAACTACACGTTTTGGTGCAAAATGTGAGGGCAGGGAATCAGAAAGATGGGTGAGATGTAAAGAGGAAAATGATTCTGTAATGTCTTAGAACTTTACAGGACTCCTCCAACAAAAACAGCATGACTACGTCTCATCACGTGCCATTTAACAGAAATAATGCACCACGATCTGAGCTGTAATGTCCCAAGTTTACTGAAATCCTAACCCCTAAGTACTTCAGAAGGTAACTATATTTGGAGGCAGAGTCATTTTTTTAAAAAGTTAGTGTTAAATGAAGTTTTTAGCGTGGACCTTAAGCCAATGTGATTGATGTCTTCATAGGAAGAGGTCAGAACACAGACAGGCAGAGAGAAGCCGAGATAAAGACACAGAGAGGATGGTTGTCTGGAAGCCAAGGAGTGAGGTCCTCGGAGAAGCCAGCCCCAGGGACCTTGATCTTGGGCTTCTAGCCTAGGAGACTGAATTTCTGAGAGGGATCAGATTTCTCCTTTGTAAGCCTTTGATACTTTGTTACAACTGCCCTGACACACTGAACCAGACTATTGTACATGTACCGTTTCTTCTTCTTCTCTTCCTCTTCTTCAGAATACAGGAAGATAACACTTCCCTGTGTCCATGTATCTGAGTAGGTCTATGCAACTAGTTCTGACCAAAGCACAGAAAAAAAATAGAAATAAGCTTTAGCTGAGACATTTAAAGGCAATTGTAATTTTCTACTGCATCTGTCTTCTTCCCTGTCGTGGGACCACCAAGACCACATGTTCCAGGAAGTAGAATTACAAGGTGGCAGAGCTTCTGCCATCCTGATTTCCTGAGAGACTGTGTGAAATAAGCATTCTGCTAACCTACTTTGGACATAAAATGTGAGAAGTATTTATCAAATTTATTTAAGCCACTAAAATTGCAGGATTGATTTATAACTATAGCATAGCCACTTCTGACACACAGATCTACCTCACAAAAGTCAGAGCACCAGAGTGCTTGGATCTCATGCCATATCAGAGAGTCCACGTTAAATTATTATTTAAGCAAAATATCACCAATGGTGCAAAAGTGATGCTTATATCTTAGAGGTAACCAACAGCTTTCTAATTGGATTTAGGGACTGCTGGATGGGAGGAAAGTCATTCCTGGTACTGCAAGCCTGGCCAGGAATGCAGGGGAGAGGTGGTCATAGATCCCAGAAGAGGACATACTCCTGCCATTTTCCTCAATTGATGCAACCTCCAATAACTGTATTCTAAGCCCTTAACCTTATAGCCATAAATATGTGCACCTCTCCTTACCAAAGAGGCTTCTTTTAGCAGCTACTGAGGCTGCTGCAGATATTCAGAACTGGTCAAAAGGCCCCAACTGGAGATCTGCAATACAATCCCTACGTCCAAGGCTCAGGGAACACCACAGAAGAGGAAATGCAAGAGTTAAGACCCCGAGCACCCAATGAGTGCTCACCACTACAAAACAGTCGCTTCTAGATGTGTTAGGGAACCTGCATCTGTGACTCTTAACAATAATTAGTATGTAAGGAAAAGTATGTATCTAATAGTAACCGTGCCTGTTCACATGGTAATCCCACTATTAGAAACTGACTTACTAGAAAGAGATGAATACACACACACGCACGCACGTATGAAAATGCACATATATAAATAAATACAAAATCCACAATGCTAATAATATATGTATTTAAGTAATCCAAGTGTCCAATCCACTGGGAATTGATTAAACCAATGATGGTTCTGATGTGGGATTTCCATTTGTATGTTGTGAATATGCTTTATTACCATTGGTTAATGAATAAAGCTGTTTTGACCAATGGCTTAGCAGAGCAAAGCCAGGCAGGAAATCCAAACAGAGATATATAGAGAGTAGGTGGAGTCAAGGTGACATCATGTAGCTGCCATAGGAGAAAGATGCCTAGAACTTATATATGCCACAGCCTCATGGTGATACACAAATTATAAAAGACTTAATTTAAGATATAAGAGTTAACCAAGAATTTGCCTAAGCTATTGGCCAAGCAGTGTTGCAGGTAATATGTTTCTGTGTGGTTATTCAGGTCTGGGCAGCCAGGAACGAAAGAGCAGTCTTCATCTACATGGTTCATACCCCTGACACAGATCTATAGTTATAAAGACTCGGTCTCTTCACTGACTTAAATAATACTTATGTCATTTTTATAAAAACAAGAAAATCAAGGATGAAGAAAATTTCTACTCGTGAAAGCTCTTTTAACTCAAGTGCACTGAGGCATATAAGTTCTGGCTCCTTTTTGGTAACCTCTCTCTTCCATTGTGTTTGGCTGGATCTTTATAACCAAACTCAGTTAGCTGGCCCAGTTTACCCACCCACTAGTTGAGTGATGTCAAGCAAAAGAAAAAAAAAGAAAGAAAGAAAGAAAGAAAAGAAAAAAAAGTCAAAAAAAACCCACCAGAGTACTTCCTTCAGCGGTGGCTAAGTGTATTCCCCGAGACCCTCATGAAAGTATATATTAAGGACAATACACAGTGCAGATACATAATCAATATCCACTACCCATGATGCTCGTCTCTGGAAACCTGGAGGAACAAGATTTCTCGTGGCTTGACTTGCATTTACTTTGGCTCTTTTATTCCTTTAAAAAAAAAATGCCTAGTTTTAAAAAAAGCTATAAATCATTCTGTGTATTTCTCATCTTGAAATAAAATGGAAAAAAAAACTAGTGTCTGTTTTTTTTCCTTCAAACTAGTGCTTACTCCACTAAGTTCTGATAATATTAGGCATTCCAATACTTAGCGCTGTTTCTAAAGGGAATTTCATTATTTCATCGCTGAACTGATCGGCTGCTTTTCTGGGAAGTTAATATTAACTGAGTCGTTCCCGGGTAAGTAAATTGTGCTTATCAGATGTAACTGAAGGCTCACACACCCCCTGTGAGACGGGCAGCTTACTGTGCCTTCTTCCACCCAGGAGCCAATTGTGGGCCTCTCTCCCCGGGCCAGGCGAGGGTGGCCAGGCAAGGGTCTTACCGCGAAGTCTGGATCTTTTCAGAATTATGCAGTCAAGCTGAGTCGGATCTCTGGCCCAGTGCATTCCGGGCACCAACGACATCACTGAGCTTATTTCCCCAGACCATAAGCACCAAAGATTTCTGTCACTTTACTGCCTCCTCCACACTTCTGCTCCAGTGTCTCTTCAGACTATAAATGCTTTTTCAGAACGTAGCACAAGCTGTAGCAAGACTGCACCGAATAGGCTATCTCCGAATGTAACAAACTCCTGTCAGAGAGGACCCCTTGACTGAGGGCTCCCTGTTGGCCTTGATGGTAGCACACGTGGCCTGAGGGGTTTTTTGTTTTGTTTTGTTTTGTTTTGTTTTGCTTTGCTTTGTTTTGTTTTGTTTTATTTTCCACAGTTCATTAGCCACACACAGCTTCCGTTCCACCTCCCATCCCCATTTTTCCCACCGCGGGTGAATTATCATTCTTCAGTTTCCACTTCTTGGAAAACCTAGCCTCTGCAAAGTGAAAATAGCCCTTTCAAGGTCAGGAGGGCAGTCAAGCAAGAACTGTCCATGGAAGACAGATTATAAAGCCTTAGAGGGCGGGTTCTCGGCCTCTCACCTCCCCTGGCACCCTGGATAAATGTTTTTGCTGACTGTGTCCCAACACAGTTTGGAGAAAGACTGTCTTAGAGGAACACTGAAGGTTGAAACTTCAGATTGTCAAAGAACTTTCAAAGCAGGCATGCCAAAACCACCACCACCACCCCATGCACTGGCGGGAGACTCAGAGTTCAAACGCAATGATTTTAAGGTCCTTGGTCCTAGCAGCTGGCAGCAGGATGGTGTTTGCCTAGGGCCCTCAGCCTGGAACAGGTAAGCCAGTGTATAGTCGATGCCAGAAACTTTATAGACCGTCACAGAAACTCCTACAGGCATTGGAAGACTGTAGAAGGTTAAAGACACTTCAGTAAGATTTTATTGTTTTTTTTTTAAGACTGCCACAATGACAGTTAAGTGTGTTTCAGTTAACAGTTAACTCCTTCTCAAAATGCCCTCAAGTTCAGTGCAGCAATATCCACTTAGCCCTAGACCAAGCCCCCTTCCTATGTCCTGTGCACGGTCATTTTGCTGTGAACCCAGGACATGAGACCCTCGCAAGCAGCTTCTTCTCTCCCAGGTACCCCTGCTTCCCTCTGGACAGGATAGAAATCCTCCTTCCTAGGGAGCACAATGCAGGAAATTGCACTGGGTCACTGACAGTAGGAGGCGCCAGGCACACATGCACGCGCAGGCACGCACACACCTGCCCCTCTACCTGCATTTGCACCTGCACCCGCACCTACACCCGCACCCACCCGGGGTCTAAACCTGCCGTGCCTTACTTCCCGAAAAAAGAAGCTAATTTTGCAGCTACTGGAAATACAATTCGGACAGCCGGGGAACCCACACCCGGGAGGTGAGGGAGCGTAGGAACAACGCGCAACAGGAGGCAGAAGCCAGGCTACTTGAAGGAAGCAATGATCGCTGCCAGGTCAGGTATAGACCCATGTGCAGGGACTATTATTAAACATTAGAAATTTCAACAGGGACATCTTAGGCATTCCAGCTACCTCTCTAGGAAGAAAGATGGGAGCCAGGTACCAAACGTGGAGAGACTGGAGGAAAAGGAAAGGGCCATCTCAGCACCTGGGGTTCAAAGACAGGTCCCGGGAGGGCTCCAAGCTTGTGCCTGTGCCTTGGGACACCCCTCTGCAGACATGTGCAGGGCTCACCTGGCGCTTGCTCTGCTGCTGGTCCATGCCTGCTGCGATCCCCTGCTGCTGTCCCAACGTACGGGTGCCTGTGCCCCTGGCGGCAGCCACTCATAGAGCGCACCCAGCTGCTGTGCCTTTGCACCATGCGCCTTCCTCGCTTCTGCGCTGCTGCGCGCCAGAAGGGTCTGGTTGCTCTTAGGGACTCTGCCTGCCAATCTGAGCCTCCACTGCCTTCACTCCTCCAAAGGTCCCAAGGCCAGCGAGTGCCTGGGTCCTAGCGCCCCTCCGAGGATGTTGATCCCCGACTTTGAGTTGCTTAACAGCTTCCTAGTTACTGGACTCTGAGCAACGCCTTCCTGGAAATCCTAGGAAGTCAAATCTCACTGACGCTAGTGAACGGAACCTAGTGCTTTTCTTGGGACTCAAGATTCAGGTTCTAAACATCTGCTAACCTTGTTAAGGCTCTCCACAATCCCCTCGGGGATTACCTCGGGGGGAGCCCTGTCTCCAGGTAACAACCCATCAAGTTTGCCAACAATTCTCAACTCAAATTTGTTCACATGCTCCCTCCATTTGTTTATATTTGGGGTACCGTGAAATGTTGGTACATACTACACATGTACTCTGAAATATCCCCGAAGTGATATGAACTCTATTCTCAGACGTGCTTATATTTTAAAGAAATTTTATACTGCTCAAATATGCATACAAATGTACATACCTACACACATAATATATATGAATATATATGTATAGCCCCATTCATGATATCGTATTTGGTAAAGGGTGTTCTTCATATGCAAAGGAATACATAAACAGCACACTATTATGTGTATGCGCGCACACATGTGTGTAGGGGGTGATCCCTCAGCCTTAATTGGGCAGACAGTGTGTAAACATGAGTCACACGTAGATCAAGCCAAAAGCACACTGATACTCCTTGAACTCTCCCCCTCCCCAGCAGCTGCCCCCACCAATCTGTTTTAGGGAGTTGGCACTCATTAGCGGTCTAGGCACACACTGGGAGGTTCCTCTAAAAAGTAAGCCATTTTACCTGGGCAGCTAAAAAACTGGCTTGGTGGCATCTTGTCCAAGGCTGTCAACCCACAGGGTGCACATACCTGGTTTCTCCAGGATGGAGAGATTTCTAGCAATGAATGACTGAGAGAGCTCCCAACAGGACTGGGTCAGTCCAGCCAAAAGCAAAGACCAAGCAATCTGTTCCTGCTGACTTTCTCATCCAGAAAAGCTGACGAGATGTCTAATGGCAGGACAGGGAAACGAGTCATTTTTAGAAGTAACACCTACTTCATGGGATGTGGAAAGAGACAAAGAAAAAGATTATCTTGATGTTAGCCGCCCTACAGAGAGTCCTGCAGTAGGACACGAGAGCCTTGTTCCATATAGCTTTTATGGGTTTTGTAGAGTATTTTCCCCCACAAAGCAGTCTCTCTGCGTAACAGATTCTAAGATGGTCTCCAACTATCCCCACCTCCTGTGTTCATGTCCTGTGTCATCCCCTCCCCTTGGGTGTGGGAGGAACCTGTGACTTGCTGCCTACTGGGAACATGGCACTGTCTGTGGGGATGTTGCCACAGAGAGTGGGTTATGTAGTCTTTCTGGGAGACTCAGCAGCCTGCTGGCATCCAGAAACAAGGAAGCTGTGTCAGGAGGCCCACATGACAAGGAGCAAAGGATGCCTCTAGCCAAGACCTGACTAGAAACCGAGACACAGCCCCCCCCCCCCCGCCTGTCACACAGATGGAAGGGAGCTGAATTCTGCTGACAAGGAGGGAGACTTGAATGTAAATCCTTCCCTGGGTGCGCCTGAGCTGAGACTACAGCCCCAGATGATGACTGCGTTTTTCAGAAAAGATCCTGAAGCTACACCCCTACTTCAGATGCACAGTAACTATAATAATAAAGTAGTGTTTTCATGCATGTGTGCACATTCATGTGTGTGTGTGTGTGTGTGTGTGTGCGTGTGCGTGTGTGTGTGTGTGTGTGTGTGTGTGTATACACTTGGAGGCCAGAAGTTGGCATTAGGTATCTTCCCAGGCTTACTTATGAGACAGAATCTGCTACTGAACCTGAAGCTCACAAATTTGATTAAGATTGGCTGGCAAGCAAGGCCTCCGGAATCCTCCTGCCTCCACCTCCTCAGAGCTGGGATTACAGATACATACTATAGTACTAGAGTCAGCTCTTGTGTGGGAACCGGGGATTGAACTCAGGTCCTCATGTAAGAAACACTTTACTGAAGTAATAAAACGGGAGTGTTTTGTGTGTGGTGATAGAAAACCGAAAATATGACAATAGAAAGTAAAAGGGCCAAGGCAATTTAAGGTAGCAGCATAATGTACTATTACATCATACTCATAGGCTCTGGAGGCCTGCACGGTCAAGGAGAAACAGACAAGTAAAATCATTTTTCATGAAGAGCCAGGCCAAGGTTGAGATTTGGTGGGGGGTGGAGAAAAATGCAGCCTGCAGCAGGCAATGGGGACGGTGCACCAGGCTTTTTCTTTGGGGGCCACCAACTGGCTCCCAAATCATAGCACAGAGACTTCTTATTAGTTTTGAAGGCTCAATCTATCTTAGGCTTGTTTCTGGCTACCTCTTTTAACTTACATGATTCTGTTTTTGTTTACCTCCCTCTGGCCTCCAGGCTTTCCTTCTAGATGTCTTACTTACATTGCTTCACATGACTCGCTGGCAGGCTGACTGTCTGTCTGTCTGGCAGCTCCCTGGCTTCTTGCTTGGCATGTGTCCTTCTCTTTCTCCCCTGTTCTCTACTCCCTCTTCCTCATCCTCTCCTATGTATTCTCTCTCCCTGCCAGTCCCCCCTATCCTTTCTTGCCTAGCTATTGGTTGTTCAGCTCCTTATTAGACAAATCAGGTGCCTTAGGCAGGCAAGGAGAAAGCAATGCAGTACATCTTTACATAATTAAACAGATGCAGCATAAACAAATGTCACACAACTTTGCCCAGTTAAAAATCATATTCCACAACAGAACACTTTGCCAAACTAGATCCAAAGGTGAAAGGAGAAGAAATGTTTCCAGAAATAAGAATAAATAAAGAGAAGACCCAGGAAGAGAACAGAAAGAATGCAGGAAATGGAAAGGTCTCCAGACCCCTTTCCTAATGATCTATAAAAGACAAACTCAAGCCACGTCATTTTCTTCTTGGAGTGTGGGGGTTTCCAGAAGAGCTCTCAAGAGATGCTTGATAGAAGAGTATCCATTTGCAGTACGTGCTGCAAATGGTCCATTGCTCCTAAGATATTGCATAAAACCAGACAGTATTCTCAACAGCCTTAGTCAGAATTCTGACAGTTCACATACATTGTTAAGCTTTAAGTGTTTGGATGCCTAACACTTACATGTTTTCTATTGCATTCCTGTTGTGCCGTGGTGAAACAGAGCCCAATCCTGAATCTCTATTATTCACTGTGTACTTCTGAAGGCTCTGCAGAGTGATGCATGACTCTAAGAGGGGAAGGGAAGGGGGAGAGGGAGAAGAAGAAAGGAAAAAGATAAAAAGAAGGAAAGGTAACTGAAGCAAAACTGAGGAAGAAGAGGAGGAAGGGAAACACAGACCCAAAGGCTGGGAATCCCCAGTGTGCTGGGGCAGGGTGTGGGGGGGGGTGTAAAATTGCATAGCGGAGCTCTGCTCTCACTCCTATTGTAAGTGACATGGCTATCAAGTGTGGGACTCACCAATGGCTCACAACAAAGCTTCCCCGCCAAACCTGCTGTCTAAAGTGAGTAGGAACTCCAAAATCAAGCTCTGGTCACCCACCTTCCCTCATCCTTGTCCATACCAACCAGCCACCACTTGCACTATAGTGTGCCTACCCCATGTCCCTCCTTGGGCACCCTAATGCCCAAGAATGAAGCGATCTATTTGGGCCCTAGCCATTTTCCTCTGATCTAAGCCAGATACATAGGCAAAGCCAATACAACAAATTCTACTTGGATGTATCGAAACATTCACTCTCCCTATGCATGCCTATCAATTTCTTCTCCTTTCAGAGTCTGACATTTTCTCAACTTCTTTTTATTTCAATTGGTTCATCATTGAATCAGAGACTTTGTATACCTCTAAAATCTCCACAGCATGTTCATCAGAATAAGAAGATGGCTTATTGGGTAATGGTACCTGGTGCCAAGCCTCATGGTTTAAGTTCGAATCTGGGGACCCACATGTTAAAAGGAGAAAAACGAGTCCTGCAATCGATGTCCCCTGACCTCCATGTGTGTTATGGAATATTCACTATTACACACATACACTCATATATATATATATATATATATATATATATATATATATATATGCATGTATGTGTATATGTATGTGTGTGTATATATATATAAAATAAAACTGTTTTTAAAGGTCATTCGTCAGCACTCTGTTCTCAGTTTGCTCTCTTGAGGAAGATGAATATTGCTGGGGAAGGTAACTGAAATAGATAACCAAACCAAGCTTCACCAGTTCGCAGCCTTGCTGAAGGCCCTGTGTCTACCTGTATGACATATAAGCTTCTAAAAGGAGTGGTGGGCTGTGTTCCCGCCTGCCACCCAGCTAGCTTTACCCGAAATAATTACACGGAAACTGTATTCTTTTAAACACTGTCTGGCCCATTATATCTAGCCTCTTATTGGCTAACTCTTACATATTTATTCAACCCATTTCTAATAATCTGTATGTCATCACGAGGTGGTGGCTTACTGGGAAAGATTCAGCATGTCTGACCTGGAAGCTGGCTGCATGGCGTCTGCCTGACTCTGCTTCTTTCTTCCAGCATCCTGTTCTGTCTACACCACCCACCTATGTTCTGACCTCTCAGGCCAAGCAGTTCCTTTATTAATTAACCAATGAAAGCAACAATGAAGACCCTCCTACATCATAAAGTGGAGTCAGGTGATTTCTAATTGGCTGTTGGCTAGTGGACTTTCTGAATTCAGACATGCTATGTATGTCTATAATTCAGCAAGAAGATGTAAGGGAAGGAGTGTTTTCCTTATAAGAAACAAGATGCCTGGTTACCCAGGATTGCCATGGTAGTGACAATCTATTGGTGGCACAATTCTTGTTTCATTGGTTCTATTAAGAAAGTTAAAATAAATGGGGGTACACCATTTAGGTTCCATTAAATGTGTCATTGGTCACTCTTCCTTAAAGATCAAGG